AGCCAGCTCGCCACAGCTCCCCAGGAGCAGTTGGCCAGCTCCCAGGTACCTGACAGGGGCTAGAGAAGGTGGGTGCCTTCCTGGTCCAGAGTGGAGATCATGGACCTTATTCAAGTTTGGGGGGGGATGCCCCCAACATCTATGATCTCGCACTAGATGGAGGAATGCAGCCATCTATGGCAGGATAGCTGCCAGCCTGGCCACCAAAGGCCACAGCTCCCCAGGAGCAGTTGGCCAGCTCCCAGGTACCTGACAGGGGCTAGAGAAGGTGGGTGCCTTCCTGGTCCAGAGTGGAGATCATGGACCTTATTCAAGTTTGGGGGGGGATGCCCCCAACATCTATGATCTCGCACTAGATGGAGGAATGCAGCCATCTATGGCAGGATAGCTGCCAGCCTGGCCACCAAAGGCCACATGCAAACCCAGGAGCAGGTTTGCATGCCAATCAAATTGGTCCAGCGAGACCTCCAACCCTGGGCCCTGAGCTTCCCCTCCCCCCAGGTTTCCCCTTCCCCTCTCCTACCTCCTTTTCCCAGTCTCCCCAAAGATTCATCCCCCACCCCCAGTTTTGTTCAATAAACCGAGTTGAACATATGTGTCTTTTGTCTGACATCAGGAAGTAGGGCTAGGGAGGAGTAAGTGGAAGGACATGAGGGAGGAATGGGGCACGAGCCCCCGGTGGGGAGGATCGGGGTGGCTCTGAGGGCTCCTCGGGGTAGATGCTCTCCCGCAGCGCCTCCTGGATCCTGACAGCCCCCCAATGGACCTCCTGGATGGCAGCCTACAGCAAGTGCCGCCAGGCTGATGGCAACAACCCCACGAAACGCACCGGCGTGCCCAGGGGCAGCTCTGGCTCCATGTGACCGAGTACTGTGGTGTCCCGAGTGCGGGCGCTCAGGGCACTCCAAGACAGGACTGCTTTGCTGGCCCCCTCTGAGGTAGACAAGCAAGCGGGGAACCCTGAGAACTGTCTTTCCGGGGTGAGAGTAGGTCACTTTAAGCACGGAGTTCAGTTAGACTCAGGCAGCAGCCCCAAACACTAAGTCCTAACCTGATGCCCTGCCGGCACTGATACCAGCCAGCCTTAACTTCGGTTCAGGGTCCACACAGTGTGCACGCGCTATTTCGAAATAGGTTTTGTGTGTAGATGTCTTAATTTGAATTAGCTTAAGTCGAATTAACTATTTCAAATTAAGTTAACTCGAATTAACGCTGTAGTGTAGATGTACCCTTTTGATTTTACCAAACCAAACCCATAATCGCACAACTTCAGGTTCATGAAGTTGTGTTAGTGTCATTCAAAGAAGGAAAAATCTTAACTACATGGCTGTATAGAAAGCACTTTAGAAAAGAGTGAACAATATGACAGGAGTCTGATTAAATAAAAATTGCTCAACCTCACTGTAGGAAAATTTATTTTTTCTATTTCTTGTGGCTCAGAAATCAGAAAAAGCACTTGAGTAAAATAAATTAGCATGGGAAATGGACCTGTGCGCTAAACATTTACTTTAAAATAGAACTGAGTTCAAGGGCAATTTGCAAACAGATATTTTGAAATGAGAAATGGTTATATATTCAGTGGTTGTGTTGATAATTTTAGTGGCTATTCTTTTCCTTGGTGTCATGGAATACCAAACATTCAAGTAATAGGAATTATTTCTCTATTACTGTCCTTATCCCTGCATATTAAGTTGGTTTATTGATAAATTACTGAGAGCTATAGTAGTTGAATCTCATAATTATATCTCGTATATGAACACCTAATATACATTGATGATTTTACCCAGAGACTCCATTACAACTGACTTCTTGTTTAACATGCATTGTCTCAAGGCATAAAATCAGCATTTTAGAGAAACCATTCAGAATACAGTGTGGAGCCAGTGAAAGTGATACTCTCTTTGGAGAAGTAATTGTTGAGATCTGCAAATTCCTGCAATGAAACTTGCATTATACTATATTCTGCAGAAAGGAATCTCAAAAAACCTGCAGTTCCCAGCACAATTCTTAGAGAAAAACATGGAAATTTTCATTGTTTGTCACCATATCCTGAAACGCTTCAGTGACCATTACATTTTCTAGTTGCTATTGGTGGAGAGATCAGCTGACTGCAAGGTGGTAGTTTGAAAAATTCCCACCAGCTTGAATTCTGAACTATTTACTTTCTAAGTGTCTTTACACAACATTCTTAACTTGAAATAAGTTACGCAAATTACATAGCTTATTTTGTAATTTGGCACTATCTACACAGCATCAAATTTCTATTGTGAAATTCCCTTTAACCTTCGTGGATTGTAGGATGTCAGAATTATCTATTTTGAAATGACGAGTTGCCTCAGACGAGGAATAGCTATTTTGGGATACTTTCAGTACCCCGAAATAGCTCTGCAGTGTAGACATATCCTAGGAAACTACTGAAAATTGTTTGTTTTGCCCTTCCCAAGTTTTTATACACTAAGGATTTTCATAGCACAGTGACAGAAAATAAAAGAGATATAATGCCTTAAAATATTGTATTATAAATAAATGTTCACCTGAATGTATGTAATTTACCTTATTATTTCTTTCTTAGGCTACAAAAAAAGTTGTGGATTCTATTCAGAGGGCCAAATTCAGAGACAATTGAAACTAATGTAATTTAGCTCTTATTTCCAGCATCAACAGGTATGCTAAAATTAGAATCAGTCTGTGAAAAATAGACATCCAATTAATAAGTTTACATATCACCTCTGAACCTGTCCCACTGGCTATTCAGTCCATAGCCATATCTGCTTTAGGGAACTGTATGAGCAATTTCCATCAAAGTCAGCACTGATCGAACAGTACCAGTGATGATAATGTTTCAGCATAGATTAATCTAGTAGCTTAGTGTGTTACTGTTGTATAAACTGTTGGCTTGATCTGGAACTCTTTAGAGTCTTGGAAAGTAGGACTCTCACTGGAGTCACTGAACCAGTAGTGTCATCCATGTCCTTACTATAGGTAAGTTCTAAGAGGCTGATTTTATGCTACTTGCAGGTAGTCTATAGGGAAAGGCTGAAAAGGGAAGAGAATAAGGGTGTAATAAGGTGTAAATGAAAGCATGATCTCCTTATTATTAATTCACTTATAGCCTCCTCTTAACTTTTGATATACCCCCTTCATCTGGCCCCTCAAAATACAAGTATCGCAGCCTTAGACTCTCTCTCTCTCTCAATAGGTGAGCTCAAAGAATGAAATAAGGGGCACAGGTTACGTCCTTGTAAACCAGAGAGAGATTAAGGGAGTCTTAAAGACTTTCAAATCCTGGGTGCCTAAAAAAAGGCTGATAAATACATGTTTAGTCACCTAGTAAGTGTCTCAGTTTTTAAAAATGCTGTGCACCCAGCAGCTCCTATACATGCGTGACTGTAATGGCCCATTTAAAAAATAAACTCCAACTCACAGGTGGTTCAATTTACATGCTGAAGGAGTGGAAAAAAATAAGTATAAATTACACCAGTTCAAATTTACCACTGAATCTGGTGCATATTTCTGTAGCTCATTCTTATAGACTTTCCTAAAATACATTACATGCACACAAAAACACAGTCTAAAAATTAGTCAGCAGCTATTCCAGTATTGTAAAATGTTAGCTTCTAATTTAATTGTTAGTCAATAGCTACAAGCAGATGTTGCCAAAGCATCTAAATCAAGGAATAGAAAGAAACCAGATTGCTAAGCTACAGAAGGTCATTCACTCTTTAAAAAAAAATATGGATTTCTAAGATGCAGTCATTGGAAACTATCAGTGGAAACTATCTTAAAATGTCAGAGTTTTGAAGGGAAGGGTATAAACTTATCTTTACATTTCAAAAATAAACCAAAATTAACAAATGAATTATTCCTGAAAACTAAAAGAAGAGTCAAAGTACAAGCATTCAAGAGTTCACGGAGAAAATCATTTGGAAAACAAGTAATTAGGATGAACACTAACAATGGGTTTTTTTTTAAAGCTACAGTTTGTATTAGAAATAAATTTTGAAAAAGCATATTTAAATGTATTGTAATTAGGAGAGTGATTATGCCTTCTATATTTTATACGGCACTGAACATCATGAAAAAATTACATCAAGTCAATGCATCTTAAAATGACAGCTATACATATATGAATGCTGATTTCATAAAATGTTTTTCAATATTACACTATATACACACACACACACACACACACGTAAAGAGGACTGTTAGACATCTGAAAAATATTTGTGATAAAATACAAACAGTCTGAGGATCTTACTTTTATGCAAACACCTTTGTTTCAGTGTATTTTAATTTGTTCCCCTAAAATAAAGTAATAAATCAGGTTGGATATATTTTCTGGTAAGGAATTAATTTAATTAATTATTTTAGGACTGTTAAAAGAAAATAATTTATCACCAGTGAGGTCAGTTACTCTGATATCAGGGTTAGGGTGAAAAAGTGCAGATGAGTACAAGCTAGGGAGCTGCCTAACACCAGTGCAGGAGTCGCTGATTTTACCAAATATGAAAGGTATTTTTAAAATCCACTCCATAAACAGTGCCATACACAGCAAGACTTGCTAGCCTACTGAAATATCTTCAATGCCTTGGACTCAGTAAGTAATATTAAGATGTAATTTTTACTCACCCAATTCCCCATTTAAAAGCAGCCCCTGATAGAAAGCTCTTAATCACAGAATACTAGTACTGGAAAGAACCTTCAGAGGTCATCAATTCCAGTCCCTTGTGCTCATAGCAGGACCAAACACCCTCTACCCCTGACAGATGTTTGTCTAACCTCCTCTTAAAAACAATAAATCTCCAATGATGGAGCTTTCACAACTTTCCTAGGCAGTTCATTCCAGCGCTGAAACACCCTGATAGTCAGGAAGTTTTTCCTAATGTTTAATCTAAACCTCCATTTGATTTAATTTAAGCTCATTGCTTCTTGTCCTATTTTAAGAGGTTAAGAAAAGTAATTTTACACCTTCTTTATAACATTATTTTAGGTATTTGAAATCTGTCATGTCTTTCAGTCTTCTTTTTCAGATTAAACAAACTCATTTATTTCAGTCTTCCATCATAGGTCATGTTTTTTAGACATTATTCATTCCTCTTTTCTCCACATATTTCCTGAAATGTGGTGTCCAGAACTAGACACCATACTCCAGTTGATGTCTAATCAGAGCAGAGCAGAAGAATTGCTTCTTGTATCTTGCTGACAACACTCCTGTTAATACGTTCCAGAATTGTGTTTGCTTTTTGGGCAGCAGCATCACAGCATCACGACACGTTAATCCGGCCACTAATGCATGGCCTGGGAGCCGCTGGGAGAGGTGAAAACCCTTTCAATTGCTGCTATTTAAAGGGCTCACAGCTCCTGGAGCCAGAGTTGAGTGTTCTTTGAACAGCAGCAACTGAAAGGGCTACAGGCTTGTGGCTGCTCTACCACTCCCAGGTCAATTGAGACTTGGGGGAAAAGGAGAGTGTATGAAGTCTCCTCCCACCACCAGCGGTATACAGCACCAGAGGGAACTGCCAGATGCTCAAAACAGCTGGATATTCTTTCTAGGCACTTTGTGCCCCTGGCAGGGCAGGCAGAGAGGCTAAGATTTCACATGCTCCCCAAGCCCCAGGCCAATCAGGATCGGTGAGCAGTGAAGTTTCTTGGCTCCACCCCTTGCCCTTGAGGCCCCACCCCTTTCAGGCCAGCCCGCAATCACTTCAGAAATTCACAAAGTGGCCCCCCTTTCAAAAAATTATTGCCGACCCCGGTCTAAAAGCCTTAAAAAAGCAACATTCTGATGCAGAAACTACAAAACCTGAACCACCAATAAATAAAATAAATAAATAAATAAATAAACAAACAAACAAACTTTCGCTGGTGGCAGCTGACTCAGATGATGAAAATGAACATGTGCTGTTCTGTAAGACTTTGAATGATTATTGAGCAGAACCCATCATCGACATGGAAGCGTTTTTCTGAAATGGTAGCTAAAAGTATCAAGGGACATAAGAATCTATAGCTCATGTGGCATGTAAATGTCTTGCAAGACACATTATATTAGTGCCGTGTGAATGCCTGTACTCACTTTCAGGTTACACTGTAAAGCAAAAAAGGGGCAGCATTATTGCCTGCAAACTGTAACCTAAGAAATTTTCTGAGTGATTGGCTGAACGAGAAGTAAAACTGAGTGGACTTGTAGGCTCTAAAGTTTTACACTGTTTCTGAGTGCAGTTATTTAATTAGAAAACCTACATTTGTTATTTGCACTCTTATAATAAAGAGATCACATTCCGATACTTGTACAAAGTGAACTGAAAAAATATTGATATAGTTTAAGTGCAAATATTTGCAAACAAAAACAACAAAGTAATCACTATTAATTTGGTATTTTGACTGAAATAAATATATTTGAAAAGGTAAAAAACATCTAAATATTTAATAAATTTCAACTTAATTCTATTGTTTAACAGTGCAATTAAAGCTGCAATTGGGATTTTTTTTCAGTTAATCATGTGAGTTAATGCAGATTATTTGACAACTCTATTTGTTACCAAGACTGTTTAGAAAACACCTTTATATCTCCTTCTCCATCCCTAGCTTCACTCTGGACTGATTTTACAACAGTATTCCTTTCATCTTTCCTCATGGGCCAGAGCTACCACATTCCAGGTGTATACTCCACACTACAGTCCACAAGGGAAGCTGTACATTATGTACCTGATCAAAGAGACTATACTTCATACAGACAACATCTAGTTTCTATGCAGTGGCAGCTAATTGGATTCTCTCACCAGTACGGATATAAATGACAATAGAGGTAGGTGCTAGAAATGTAGCTCATTTCCAGTTATTTGGTTTTGCTTTTTGGGGTTGTGTTTTTTTCTGTTTAAGATATAACCTTTAACTTCCTGCCCTTTATATTGTGTTTGAACATTTATTAATTTAAATCCGTATATATCTACAACAGTGGTAGGCAACCTGTAGCCCGCACACATCTTGTCAGGTTAAGCCACCAGCGGGTCACTAAACTGCGTCAGCAGATATGACCATCCGCAGCTCTCATTGGCCAGGAGCAGAGAACTGTAGCCAATAGGAGCTGTAGGAAACAAGCCCTTGTGGCCCATACCGTTTCTCACAGCTCCCATTGGCCATGAATGGTAAACCAAGGCAATGAACGCTGAGAACAGCCAAACCTGCGGATGCAAAGTAAACAACTTGCAGGCAGCTTTCCCCAATGAGCTGTGTACATTCTCTGGACCACAGGCTGCATGCCACCCATCTACAACCATTAGTGTATCTGAATGCCTTTCCTGTTGCGGAATTTATGTTTGAAATTTGTATTTTAATACTGTACTTCTGATGCAAGATCTCCCACCTTGATTTTCATACAAGTTTCACTAGCATTCTTCTTCAGCTCTCCTGTGAAGCTAGTATGATCTGCCAGAGTCGAAGGACACATCTATACTTGCAGAAAGATCAACACTGTGGGAGTCAATCTTCTGGTGTTCGATTTAGCAAGTCTAACATAGACCTGCTAAATCCAATGCTGAAGGCACTCCTGTTAGTGCCAGTACTCCTTGATGCCCCGAGGAGTTAGGGAAGTAAATTGGAATGCATTCTGCCTGCTGCAAGGAGAGCACCAAAGCTCGATTTAAGGTATATTAACCACAGCTATGTTATTTATTCAGCTGGAATAGCATGCCTTAAACTGAACTTCGGCTGTTGTGCAGACCTGTCCTAAGGCTTTGTCAAAAATAAGAGTTTGCCCACATTACATTAGTACATCTGCAGTGGCTAGAAGTTCTTACTATGGACAATGAAAGCTGCAATTTGCAGGAGTGTAGTAGCTTCTAGGGATGTTAGCGACTAGTTGACTACCTGATAAGCATACGGGCAGTCAAGTCACTACCTGACTAGTCGCTTCCCCTGCCCCCTTGCTGCCTCTGTATCAGAGGCAGCAAGCAGGGGAGCAGGAGCCAGTGCTGGGGGGACCTGGCTTAAAAGCTGGTTCCCCCCAGCACCATCTCATGGGAGGGGAGACAAGGAAGGTAGGGTCACAGTGGGAAAAGAGCACGAGCAGGGACTGAACCAGTCCCCACTCACGTTGGGTCCTGACCACTGCACTTCTACCTTTTAAATGTAGCAAGAACCATCAATCGACTACTTGATTACCTGATTAATTGAAATTTAACATCCCCAGTAACCTCATCCTGTTTAGAACTGAAATATGTACACTGATGTACCTCAGCAACACAGGATGAGTTAAGGATGAAATTGTGTATCATCTAGATTGCATGGCTATTTTTCTTCCTATGAACTTCACAGAAGAGAAATTATTTTCTTTTAACTACAGTAACTGTTTTGCAGTCTTCCCTCCTACTTGCTGTCTTAGGTGTTCCTCATTTCCTTTAGCAATCATTCCATTCTGAGTAATATTTTGTTTTATTAGTCCCTCTGAAAAAGAATGTGAGAATTCAGAACGTGAAAATGTGGTGCTTTTTAAAGTAAAAGCCTAATAACATTGATCAGAGTCAGTCATATTGCAGGAAATATGTACATTTCCACTCAAATCTTTCTCAACTTACCCCTGTAAATTTGTAAACACCTTTATATACCACTGAAAATAAATGCTTACAAAGTCAAATTATTCATTGGCTTTGTTATGTACAGATGGGGATTAGGCAGAGATCAAATTTTAAGATTTAAGAAAAATTATTGGAACCCAAGTCCACAAAAGAAAAACCCTAATATACTATCCTGCTATACAAGGCATTTAACTAAATGCTTTCATTTTATTTAAAAGAAATAGATCAGATGGCATTATATGACCTCCAGTAGCTTAGATGTGAGAGGGGAAGGGCAACAACTGGGAGAGAGAACTACAGAGAAAAGCATGTTCATGCTGCAAAAAGGACACAATTTAGTTGGAATCACAATCACTTTATTTACCTTCTTATTAAGCCAGTGCCACAGCTTGTGGAGGGAGGAGAGGGAAGGAAGACGGAGCAGAGGGGAAAAAAAGACAAGAAGACAGTGGAAGATTATTGAAGAATGCAGTAATAGTGTGACTAGAAATGAAGGCAGACAAAGTCATCCACAGAATGAAAATTAAATAATTCCACACCCAAAGGTAAACTACAGCAGGAAATAGTGAAATCTGTAATGCAATACATCAGGATTTATCGGAAAAATGCAAAAGGGTGGCAGAATTCAATTTTTAAGATACTTATAATTATAATAGATACCAATACGTCAAAGCTTTTTTTCTACTTTTATCTATTTACATTTTCACAATTGTGGGATTATGCAGAGATAAAACTAATTATTTAATTATGGCAAACACAGAATCAACAAGGGAAAACTTTATAATGATTAAAATGCAATTCATCATTACATGTCAGAATATACAAAGCAAATATCCCTAAATCAAATACTAATAACTTCAAGCAATATTTTTCTTACTTTGCCTAACTGTAAATTGATTATGTATAGAAATATTTTTCTGTTCGATGTATGGTGAAATCAATATTTATTGACATTTTTCTATAATCTAATCATTTCAAGCCTAAATATGCATAATATTTAGAAAGAGAAATGCAGTGAATGAATATAAACTTCACAAGCATATTTTGTTAGCATAATTATATAGCTGTCTTAATACTTCTTAAAATTAGCATCCCTTTGTCTTTAGTAGTTACAGATTAATAATAATAGGCCAAATTTAAAAAAAAAAATCAATGCAACACTTGTGAAAGTTCTTTTCTAAATACAGTGGAACATTATTGCGATATCAGGAACCAACATCTCAGACACTAGTTTACTGAAATCCAACTTTGACCAAACATACAGTTTCAGACATATTCGTGTCCTTTGATATCTATTGTGATATACATTCATTTTATTATCCTATAAGTATTACTACATGCACAGCCAATGAGAAATATTATGAAAAGGAATATAAAATTCATAGAAACATTAATATGCATGCTGTACAGATCAAGAGTTCCTTGAATCAAAACTTATTATATGCTATCTGTAACGAGCCAGTCAAACTACAGAAGAGATGCTAAGCCATTTTCTGAAAAGGAAGGGAAGGTTACTCACCTGTGCAGTAACTGGAGTTCTTCGAGGTGACTGTTCTCATGGGTGCTCCACCTTAGGATTTTCAGCGCCACTGAGCCCACGATCAGAGATTTGTGACAGCAGTGTCCATAGCCGGTCACGTGCGTGAGGAGCCAACATATGCTCCGAGGAGGCTATTGTGCATGTGCAGCCATGCCCCGCCTCCCCTCCTGAAGCCTTCTCTGACCCAGACGTATTCTATTCCAAAATAGAGGGGAGGAGGATGGATGGTGAAGCACCCACGGGGACAACTATCTTGAAGAACTCCAGTTTCTGCATAGATAAGTAACCTTCCCTTCTTTGAGGAGTGTCCCCATGGGTGTTTCACCTTAGGTGATTACAAAGCAGGATTCGTAGTAGGAGGTGGGAGCTTCAGCTGCTGAGCCTGTATGACCGAGAGAATTGTGTGGCCAAATCTTGTTTCTGACTCAGCAAATGGCTGGAGCACATAGTGCTGCATGAAGGTATGTGTTGATGCCCATGTGGCGGCTCTGCAGAGGTGCTCGCCGTTGTGGCTGCCATTGCCCTTGTCAAGTGAGACCACATGGTAGGTGGTCGCTCTCTCTGGGCTAAAGCATATGCTAGTTTAATGCAACTAGATACCCATTTTGATAGTCTTTGTTTTGGTATAGGCAATTCCTGTGATCTCTCTGTTGATTAAACGAACCACCAAGGTTTTTTTTGAAAAGGCTTTGTTAGTTGTAGATAGAACGCAAGTACACTGCGGACTTCCAGGGTATGGAGAGCTACTTCATTGTTGTTCTTGTGTGACTTAGGGAAAAGGACAGGTAAGTGTACAGGTTCACTGCACTGGAACGAGTTAAGTACTTTTGGTAGGAATTTGGAATGAGTCTGAATCGAGGCATCTTGTCCTTATGGAATATTGTGTCCGGTGGATCTGCCATTAAAGCTGCTATTTCACCAACCTGTCTGACAGAGGTGATAGCTACAAGGAAAGCCACTTTCATTGATAAATGCAGTAGAGAACAGGTGGTGAGAGGCTCAAAGTGTTTGCCCGTAAAGACCTTCAGCACAAAGTTCAGGTCCCATGCTGGGATCAGGTCCTTGCCTGGAGGAAACATGTTGTGGAGACCCCGTATAAAATGTTGACAGGAGGGTGAGTGAAGATCGAGTGTCCTTGTATGGGGGTGTGAAGATTGGAGATCGAAGCAAGGTGTACCTTAACGGAGCTCAGGAATAGGCCTGCGTTATGTCTTTCTTGTTGTAGGTCTTTTGGAATTTGTGAGGATAAGCTGCACTGATTCCAGGAAGGTCCTTTCCACGGCGTTTAACCAACTAGCATCTACACCTGGAAATGTAACTTGTGGATGGCTGGATGGGGCATCTGACCATTTCGCTGTGTGAGCAAAGACGTGACTGAGGGGAACTGATGTGGTAGCTGATCACTCATCTGTAAAAGGTACGGGTACCAGGTTTGTCTGGGCCATTTGGGTGCTATTATTATTATTACTCTGGCTCTGTCATGTCTGATCTTGAGGATCACCTATTGTATAAGGGGAAAATGGTGGAAATGCATATGCCAGGTGTATGTTCTATTCTATACTAAAAGCATCCCACAGGGAAAGAAGGCCTATGCCCGCTCTGGAGTGCACTTTGGGCAATGGGCATTTCTGTGTGTAGTGAACAGATCCACGACTGGGAACCCCCACTTCTTGAAGAGGCATGTGAGCATTAATTGGTTTATCCCCCAATCGTGGGTTGGTAGGAATTGTATGCTTAGATTATCTGCTAGTGGATTGTCCTTGCCTGAGAGGTAGGTTACGACCAGGTGTATAATTTGTGGGATACACCATTCCAAGAGGTGGATGGCCTCCTGGCATAAATGGTGTGAGCGTGCTCCTCTCTATCTGTCGATGTAGTACATCGTGGAGATGTTGTCTGTTAGTACTTGCACTATTCCTTTCTGAATCAGGGGAAGACCGTGCATGCAAGAATTCCTTTCCACACTTAGTTCTAGCAGATTTATGTGGTACTTGATCTCGTTGTGGGTCCACAGACCCTGTACAACCTTGAGATATAGATGGGCACCCCAAGCTAGAAGCGAGGCATCTTTCGTGATTGCTACTAATGGCAGATTCTGTTGGAAGGGGACTCCTACGCATACATTGTGAGGGAGGATTTTATCTTGTTAGGCATGGTGAGATGTTTGTTCAAAGGATGAATGCAAGGCTATTAGACTGTGCGTAGCCAGGCTTGTAATGGTCACATCCAGGGTGTGTCTAGACTACAGGGTTTTGTTGACAAAAAAAGAGGGCTTTTGTCAACAAAACTATACTGGTGTCTACACTACCACCACATTCTGTCAATAGTAAGTCGACAGAACGAGGAAGTTTTGTTGATAGCAGTAAGCCTTACTCTACAAGGAATAACGCTTTTTCTCGATAGTACTCTGTTGAAAAAAGGCGCTATTGTATGCAAAGTGTGCTTTTTCGAAAAAGCGTCTAGACTCTGTCAAAAAAGCTGCTTGCTTTGTCAACAGTACTGGTTGTAGTCTAGACGCTCTTTTTCGACAGAGGCTGTGTCGACAGTATCTATAGACAAAGCCTTTGTCGAAAAAAGCCTGTAGTCTAGACGTACCCCCATAGTCAAGCATGGGACACTATGAACATGGCCGCTGCCACGTGCCCCAGCATTTGTAGGCATAATCGTGCTGTTATACATGGGCTTGTCTGTGCTTTTTCTATCAAGAGCTTGATTGAGAGGCATCTGTGGTGTGGTAGGCAGGCCCTGGCCTTTGCACACTGTAAATGTTCCCCTCTGAATTCCAGAGTTTGAGAGGGGTCAAAGCGCACTTTGCTGTGTTTATCTGTAGCCTGAATCTGTTGAAGAGTATTCTGATTGCTAAGACCACCTGTTGTATTTCCTGTTGCGTAGTGCTCATTACTAGACAGTCATCCAGGTAAGGTAATATCGTAATGTGGTTTTTGTGCAACTGTGCAGCTACTACTGCGGGTACTTTTGAGAATACTCGTGGGGCTGTCGAGAGTCCAAATGGTAGCACTCCGTATTGGAAGTGTGTGTCCTTTACTGTAAAATGGAGGAACCTCCTGTGTAATGGGTGTACTGATATGTGGAAATAAGCATCCTGGAGGTAGACAACCATACTCGTTTTTCCAAGGCAGATATAATGGTAGCCAGAGTAACCATCTTGATGTGTTGGCATCTGACAAGAGGTAAGTCTCCAGCCCCTCTACTTCTTGGTGATGAGGAAATAGTGGGAGTAAAAACCTTTGCCCTGGTGTTGCTTTGGTACTACTTCTACAGCACCTAGCATTACAAGGTGTTCCACCTCTTGTATGAGCAAGTTCTCACAAGAGGGGTCCCTGAAAAGGGACTGGCAAGGCAGGTGGAGTGGGGGGACAACTATGAATGGAATGCAGTAGACAGTTCTCTATTTCCAGCACACATTTGTCGGTGGTGATAGAACACCATGCTGGATAAAAGTCAGCTAGTCCGTTGCCAAACAGTGTGGATGGCTCGGACTGCTGCCTTGGAAATTTGGGGATTGTTGGACTCTCAACCAGAACTTCAAAACTGTTGCCTGGATGTTAATGGCTGTTGAGTGGAGGACTGATTAGAAGCCTGTCTGTGTCTGTTTTGCCATGGACAGTGTCTGTTGTTGTACTGTCATCATTGTTGGTTGAACAATGCAGATCTGTATCTTTGGTAGAATGATCTGTTTTGTTTTCTTCTTGGAACAGGTACCTGGATGCCCAGCATCCTGAGTGTGGCCATAGAGTCCTTCAGGGTATAGAGAAACGTGTTTGTGGACTCCGCAAAGAGCTTTGTACCCTTGAATGTGGATTGGACCTCTCTCGGAAACCTCAGGA